GTCTGTGTGTGTGTGTGACAGTGTGTGTGTGTGTGTGTGTGTGTGTGTGTGTCGGCGTGTGCAGCACCTGCTGATGTGAATTAGTGAAGACGAGTTGCTCTTCCTCAGATGCTCCCAGCTGGGCTCCTTGTGTGTGTGTATGTGTTTATATATATATATATGTGTGTGTGTTTGTGTGTGTGTGTGTGAGTCTGTGCGTTTATATGTGTGTGTGTGAGTGTGTGTGTTTATACAGTGGTGTGAAAAAGTTTTTGCCCCCGTCTTGACAAATATGCAAAAAATTTAAAAAGCAGGAAGGGGGCAAAAACCTTTTCACGGCACTGTATGTGCGTGTTCAAGTTCAAGTTCAGTTTTATTTGTAGAGTATGTTTAAGCACGGAACAAGGCCGACCAAACTGCTGCACAACAAACAGTAAAATACAACAAAGACAGAAAAATCAGTAAACAAAAATAAAACCATACCAGAGCCACACATTGCTACATATTAAAAGCCAACGAGAAGAGATGGGTTTTAAGATAGGATTTATAGACAAGTAGCAAGATTTTAAACTCAATTCGAGAGTGAATTGGCAGCCAATGCAATGATCTCAAGAAGGGAGTAACATGATCTAACTTTTTACATCCCTTCAGGAATCCAGCTGCTGCATTTTGGACTACTTGTACCTGAGAGATTTGGGACTTTGATACACCAAAATAGAGGGAGTTGTAATAATCCAGCCGAGACATAATAAAGGCATGGATAGCAACCTCTAGAGAACTTCAGAGAGAAATGGCTTGGTTTTAGAAAGAGAAAGAAGATGGAAGAAGCTAGAACCTACTACAGCACTAATTTGTTTATCAAATTTCAGGGAGTTATCAAACTCTACTCCCAAATTTCAGAACTTCAGGAGAATTTAAGGAATTTAGGGTCTCGAGGTTGAGTTGATTACTTGTCCTATGCTCTGAGGCCCTGAAGACAATAACTTCGGTTTTATCTGTATTCAAGAAAATAACATTTTTGGAGAGCCATGATCTGACATCATCAAGACATGCAGATAGAGTATCAATGGCACACTTTGTATTCTTAGCCAAAGGCAAGTAAATTTGCATATCATCGGCGTAACAGTGAAAAGAGACGCCATGTTTCCTAAAGACAGAGCCCAGAGGAAGAAGATAAAGAGAGAAGAGAGCAGGACCTAAGACAGAACCCTGAGGAACCCCGTAGGTTAAGTTGCCTGAGGACAAGATAAAGCTTCTGTTTTTACAGAGAATCTCCTATTTTAAAAAAAAAAGATT